TTTATCTCTAGAGAATCCTAAGTTTCTGACTCACAACCTTAGGGACTTAATAAGTTTGTAAAACTAAGTGCTAAATTATCTTCCAAAAAAGTCTGAGTCTCTTGAGTAAGTATCAACTTTAAGGCAAATCATAGGAAACTAGAGTTGCATCACTGATCTTTTTTTATACTTTTTATTTCCCTCGTGCCTCTTAAGAATATTAATGTACAGACTAATTGATTATGGCTGTTCTTTCTCATGTTTCTTTTTGAAAAGAAATAAATTGTCTTTCAAATTTAGACTCTTCTGGCCTTATTTTAATTATGCACAAAAAATTCAAATTCTTGAGAATTTTTTCTATTACTTAATAGAATGGAATGGTGTGAATGACTTTAAAACTCAGCCACAAGGTAAGAAAAATTGAAAAGTTCTTATTTAAATTATTTCAAAAGAAAAAGTCTATCAATAAATATCAAAACTTTTGAGTGAGGGGACCATTGCACCTGGGATTTTGAAAATCTGTATATATGTTTATACATGTGTAAAGTAAAAAAATTTTAAAAATAGGCATCATCTCCAAGAACAGGATACCACTTAATTTTCATTTAAATCCCAAAATATTCCAAGGAAAAGTGAGGAAAAGAAAGTTGCCTGCAATGCAAAAGACCTTTGCAAATAATAGGTTAATGAATACTTTGAGTACTGACAAGTATGGAATTCACTAAAATCTTAAGAAAAAAGTATCTAGAGAAAGACCCCCTGGTAATTTATACATTATTCATACATAAACTATGCTCAATAAGAATTTGAGGATACATTAAATAAAGATGTTTATGATAAAAATAGGACTAGAAACAAAAAATATGCAATAGAATTCAGAAGTAAATATGAGGGTTAGTGTGAGTCAGGAAGGCCAAAGCAAATGAAAATACTAAACTTTTTTGAGTTCTCATTAATATAATTAATCAATTCCACTACCTAGAGTTTAATTCTCTATACTAAACCAGGAAAAAAAATTGGGGACATGTTTTTTATTTGAATTCGTTACTGTGATAATGTCTTCATAAGTGGAAGACAATGAATGTTTTCAATTTTTTTAAAAGAAGCAAATATATATTTTATGTATATATCTACTATATGGATCCTTACGATAGTTAAGTGCATCATATTAAATAGTGATTTTATATAATAATTAATAAATATGCAAACACTGTTACACAGTGGTAAAAAAGGGGAGCTTGGGATAATAAATTTAAGGGTTTAAATCAGTTCTAGTATGTACTAACCATAAGATACTGAAAATTGTACTTGACTTTTGAAATCTCAAAATAATTTCTTCATTGTTAAAAAATTCATAATAATATGGGGACTATTCTGAAAGTTAAATGATAAAAATTATATGAAGTGCCTAAGAGACTAGGACTTCACATTTCAACTACTAACCTCTTGGTGAGCTAAAATAATACTCTTTTCCTTGTATATTAATTGATTAGAGTCCATAAAAACTATAAGGTGAGAGTTGGGAAATCCATTTATCTTTGCAAAATATCAATGTTTTACCTGATCTTTTTATAGGAACTGGAGAGGATAACAGAATTATTTACTGTAGTGAAAATTTAGATTATAGATGGTATCTGTTTTTCACTGAAACCTTATCACTTTAACTGTTAGATCTTTAAATTCCATAGAACAGATGGGAAAAAAAATCTAGAAAGTTAGAGGTCTTTAAAGAAAATTAGAGAGCTTGAATTACGTCTTGGGTAGAAAAGTCATAGATTTGTTACAACACTAAAATGGTGCCTGGATGAAGTCCCACAGCACTGGGCCACAGAGTGGTTTATTCTAAAAGATCAGGAGTTGGGTGAAAGGGATTGGAGGACAACTAGGATTAAGGCCACTTTAGGACCTTAACAAATAAGAATTTCATCTTCTAGTGACAGTTCTATTCTAGTCCCCAATGATCTGTAATTTCTCCTGAGAATATACAACTAAGTCAAGAACTCAAGTTCTTTATCTTGGTTTACTTCCTGAAGACAATAAACACTATTAACCTGGAAGATTTGAAGAGGAGGGATAATAAATGCTTTAGGTCTACCAGAAATAGGGGGTTCCCGTGGATAACTGGTCAAGGCACAGTATATAACTCAGCCTTAACATGTAGTCTCTAGACACCTAAAGCAATCACTGTACTATTATACTGTTTCAACATTTTTTGCTCTGAGTTATTCTTCCTAACATAATTGGACACCTGCTTAAGTGTTTTTCTCTTTTTTATTATGTTTTTCATTTATGTATATTTACTTTAAAAGTTTGGATAATTCATAAAAATAGAAAAATGGCTCTTAAGACAACCATGAATATTTTGGATATTTATTTCCAGTCTTTCTTTCTCTTCTGTATAGGTGATTTAGGTTTTACAAACAATATTTGTAACTGTTTTGTTTCTGTTTTTACCTAATCATTTTTAAATAATTTAAATACCATTTTTTATTAGTATAAATTTCTCACAAATATTATATTAACAGGTGCATAGCAGCCCAGGGAATGACTATACTATAATTATGTAACAATTCTCCTAGAATTAGACAAGAATGAAAAACTTTTAAAGGATAATTTTCAATAATGCCAAAGATCTAGTAAAAGTGGAATTAGCAAATATACAGACACCAAGAAAATCAATTTTATTAGAAACTACCAAAAATCTTAAAAAAAAAAAAAAAAACCTTCATTCCCTTATTCCCAGATTCTGGGGTTCCATTTTAGGGATGTAAAGTTAAATGGGGAAAACATTTAAGGCACAATGAAATTTAACAGAGTATTTTTGTTGATTGCTTCTTAAAAGGTATACTAAAAAAAAAAAAAAGGTATACTAGCATTGCAGTAGTAATGAAAATTATTTCCTCTGTACCATTTTTTACCCTTCTCCTCCCCAACTCCATGTGAAAGCCTTGAAACAGATCGGTGGTATCTCTTTAAAAAGTTTGCAAGTGAAATATTTTGCATCAGTTATCTAAGAGTTGTTAGGATACCAAATGCATACCACGTTTATTTTCTATAAGTAATTTCTAAATAGAAATCACCTTTTAGAAGATGTTCCATAGAAAAGAAGAGAGCATTTGACTTGATTCACATCTCCCTTCTGAAACTGCAGTACATTCAGACCCCAGACGACTGAAGTTCCTTCAAGGCCTATATCATATATTTATTCCCCAAGAAAGAGTAAGTTGATAACGTGTGCCTACTGCAAATCAAACTCCAGTCTTAGTACCAAATAAAAGTATATCCTGCCATACCCAACACTTCCTAGCCTCTTTGAAATGTATACATACAAAGTGGGTTGCAACTTTAATACGTTGACACTCCTACTTTCCATAGCCAATAGATATGTAAAAATTCTATTATACTGATTGAATTGTCTCAACATCCTAAACTGGACTTTTCATAGAAGGCAGCATATTGTTGTTCAGTTGCTAAGTTGTCTCCAACTCTTTGTGATCCGTGGACTGCAGCACACCAGGCTTCCCTAACCAGTACTATCTCCTGAAGTGTGCTCAAGTTCATGTCCACTGAGTTGATGATGCTATCTAACAATGTCATCCTCTGCATTTGATCATTTTTTTCCTCTAGTGATATTTTTTAAGCTAGGTAGATCATCTTGAGGTTGGAGAGGTGTTTTGAAAATAATAGTCTTTCACTTATTTATTTTAAAGAAGGTCATCTACTAATAATATCTACTAGTTAAATTTTTTCAAATTAAAGTTATTATATCCATACTCTATGGTACACAACTCAGATCTTGAGCCAATCTCAAATTCCTGTTTTGGAAAATATTGAGCCTGACTGATAATTAAACAAATAGAAGAGGAATAACTTTCACATGGGCAGAAATAAAATGCAAACTCCCCTGAGTGTAATTTTGTTGCTTGTATCTCTCTAAAATCTAAAGAACCCAAATCTAATTGCAATATATTCACACAGAAGTCTCACCTCAAAGTCCCACAAAAATGTTTAGTTTTGCATTGTCTGCTATTCAATTACAATCCTACATAAGATTGAAACACCAGTGGCATATTCCAATGATATCAGGGAGAGATGGTCTAAAAGGCCTTGCTATTCATGTGCTTCTAGACAACCAGCATTAACAGCACCTGGAAACATGTTAGTAAGTTCAGATCTTAGATCTCACTTCAGATCCACTGATGGAGAATTTTTTACAAAGATTTCCCATGTGACTTATCCATATATTAAATCTGTAAATATTCCACTAGATGGTTGGTTTTACATTCCACTAGATGGCTGATTTTCTTCCTCAGTTGCACAATAGAATCATCTGGAGAGCTCTATTTCAAAAGATACCTTATTCTCATTCCTTAGTCAACTTGCATAATTTTAAGAGGGCAACAATCATGCAGTTAAAAAAAGGGAGAATGTAAAGTCAGAAAGTGAAGATTTGAATAGTAGTTTGCTCACTTATTCTGTTTCAAAATACTTTTAAAACATAGATACTCTATGAACTTTATTTCCCTCAGAGAATTACAGTGATGATAAAATAAGTAATATATGTGAGCATATTAATAAACTGTAAAATAGTAAACTAAGTTACTCTTAATGACTGACAGGTATAAAATCAAATAAATCAGTATTTTTAAGAGATTAAACATGCTATCTCCAAAATAACAATATTCAGAGTATGTATGTGAGTCAACTGAGTTTGAAATAACAAATGTTTATTAAGATGCAAATAGTTCTTCCCTGACTCAGAACTTGTACGTCATAATCTCAGGAAATAGGATTTAGGAATTTGTATTTTCAATAAATCACCAATGTAATGTGTCTCTCTTACCCCTGACTTATGAGCTAGAAGATGAATTTGAAAAGCTAAACTCACAACTATAAACACACTGCAGCTAGTACTGACATGCTTATTGGACTTCCTGCAATGATCTCTTACTTCATATGATAATACTGTATAGATTCCTTAAACCCACATCTCTTCTGAATTACTCCAGGCAGAAAATAAAATGGAAAGAACCAACTGGACAGACATTGAATTCACTTTACAGGGACTCTCTGGGTATCCAAGGACTGAAAAATTCCTATTTATGATGTTCTTGGTGATGTACATGGTGATCCTCCTGGGGAACAGCACTTTGATCATCCTCACTTTCCTGGATCCCCGCCTTCACACCCCTATGTACTTCTTTCTCAGTAACCTTTCCTTTCTTGACATTTTGTACACATCCTCATTTATCCCCTCAACAATGATACATTTTCTATCAGAGGAAAAAAACATCTCCTTCACTAGATGTGTTGTTCAGATGTCTGTCTCCTTCACCATGGCATCCACAGAGTGTGTACTTCTAGCAGTGATGGCATATGACCGTTACGTAGCCATCTGCATCCCTTTGAGATACCCTATCATCATGAACAAGGCACTTTGTATTCAGATGGCAGCTCTCTCCTGGGGATTGGGCTTTCTCAACTCATTGACACAAACAATTCTTGCAGTACGATTGCCCTTCTGTGGGAAAAATGTCATCAATCATTTTGTTTGTGAAATATTGGCCTTTCTCAAGCTAGCTTGCACAGATATTTCCTTGAATGAGATTACTCTAATGTTAGGCAATGTAATATTTTTGTTTGTTCCATTACTGTTGATTTCCATCTCCTACATTTTCATCCTTTCTACTGTACTAAGAATCAATTCAGCTGGAGGAAGAAAAAAGGCTTTTTCCACCTGCTCAGCCCACATTACAGTGGTGACTATGTTTTACGGGTCAATCCTCTTTATGTATATAAAGCCAAAGTCCAAAGATACTGCGTCTGACAAACTGATTGCTCTGTGTTATGGAGTAGTCACACCAATGCTCAATCCTATCATCTATAGCCTGCGAAATACAGAGGTGCATGATGCTGTGAAAAAATTGACAGCTAGGCAGTTCTGGAAGAAAGGATGAGGAAATTACACCTTTGAGCTTTTGCACAAAGTAAGCTCATATAGTGGACATAAGTTTTTCAATATAAATAGAAGAATGGAAATAAATGATATATGTAAAACCACAGAATTTAAGTGTTAAAAAGAAATTTCACAGTAATAATATAACTTTATCACTTATGAAAATAACATGAAAATGTAGAGAAAATTAGTGTTAGAAGTGGGAGTAAACTTTTAGAAACAAAAATTGAAATACAGCTTTTCAAAAAAAAATCCAGAGCACATGTCAAGTACTTAACACATAAAACGTATATTTTTCACTCCCCTTTTTGAGAGTACTATTTGATTTCATGTTTTTCATTTATTTTTGGTTTCTGTTTTACCCAGAGACTTTATCTGGTCCCAACCAAGTTTTTCTGGTACATATTTTCCTTTTTCTTTCCCTCACTGTTTTTCTCCCATCTGCTCTGCATGCATTATGCTGCATTCACTATGTAGTTAACCAAATAGATCATGTTCTTTCATCCCTAAGGACAACATTGTATGTCACTTTACCCCCATTATGATAGATCTCCTAAGATGACATCATAGTAACCTAATTAAAGACACTTTAATTGTTATATCTTCTGAAAATCCTTCCAAAATTTACCTAAAGTAAAACACTATTTACAACAGCCAAAATATGAAGGCAACTTATGTGTCCATCAACAGATGAAGGGATAAAGAAGATGTGGTACACACACACACACACACACACACATATTTGGGGCTTCCCTGGTGACTCAGTTGGTAAAGAATCTGCCTGCAATGCAAAAGGCCTAGGTTTGATCCCTGGGTTGGGAAGATTCCCTGGAGAATGGACTGGCTACCTACTCCAGTATTCTGGCCTGGAAAATTCCAGACAGGAGCCTGGTGGGCTATAGTCCATGGGTATGCAGAGTGGGACAAGACTGAGTGACTTACAATTTCATATATATTTACAAACACACGCACACACACACACATATGTATATATATAAAATACTATTTAGCCACAAAAAGATGAAATTCTGCCATTTGAAGCAACATGGATGGACCTAGAGTTTATTAGGCTTAGTGAAATAAGTCAGAAAAAGAAAAATACTGTTATCAATTTCATGTGGAATCTAAAAAATGAAATGAATGTATGTAACAAAACAGAAAGAGATTCACAGATATAGAGAATAAACCAGTGCTCCCCACTGGAGAGTGGGGAGATGGGAGGGGAAAGGAGCTAGATAGGGATATGGGATTAAGAGACACAAATCACTATGTATAAAATAAAAAAGCAGCAGGATACATAATGTAGAAGAGAGAAATATATACATTATCTTGTATAACTCTAAATTGAGACAGATACTACAGTCTATAGGATTGCAAAGGGTTGGACATGACAAGCGAAAATTGAGTTTATTCTATTAAAACATTGAAGTACTATGTTGTATATCTGAAACTAATACTGTAAATCAACTATATTTCAATAAAATAGGGAAAATAAAAATAAGGAATAAACCCCTAAACTTCTATCTAAATCCTCCCCCTCCTATTGGTCCCCTGCAAAAGATATACACTTTCATCCTTCAGTCATGTATTAGAAAGCTTTGCATGTACATGTATTATTCTGAGAGGTGGGATGAATCAACGAAAGTGGTTCCACAATTAATTTATTGTGAGCCATAACTTCTTTCCAAAATGCATTTTTAGAAACATCACCATACACATTTTGCTTTTTGTAGTTTCATATATTAAAATTTATTGACTATAAGGACATACTGAAATTAAAATTCTACTTGTGATCAAATAAAGTATTACCACTTTGTAAGATAAAAATGGAAGGATACCAGCATAGGGACAGTGAAGTGACAGAAAGTAATATGAATCAAAAGAAATGGGAGCAAAATTACATACAGGGGATGAAACAACAAGTAAACATATAAGGTATAGTGAGAGCCAGGTTTGTACTAGTGGAGGCATAAAACACACGAAAAGAGGAAAAACTAGAATAAACTCTGTGGTACTGGATTAGAACTAGAGACAATGTGAGCTCACTACCTTCAATATATACATATAGAGAGTAATATACATATAGAAAGATAGATTGTATAGGTATATATTTAGAAATCAACAATAGATGTAAATGTTTGTAAATGTGTATATATTTACATGTACACATGTACATAAAAATGCACATTTATTCCCCAAATATGTCCACTGAGAGGGCTTGGGATCAGAGATATGTTAATAGTAATTGTACATCTATTGCCAGATCTCGATTTCTAACTGTAATACTTTTCCACTAAAGAGGAGCCAAGGCCAGTGCCAAGAATGGTGCTGGCAAAAATCTTAACCTTGGTGTGGTTTTCTTACAGTTTCTCATTCTTCTGGTTATTGAGATTCTTGTGACTGTATATTTATTTTTTTCATCAAATTTAGAAAATTTACATACACTATTTCTTTAAATACATTTTTGCTAATGCATTTTCTTTTTTGTACTCCAATTACATGTATATCAGACTACTTAAAGCCTTCTCACCCAATCTGTTCACTTTTTCAGTCTTATTTTCTCTTTGTTTCATTTGCTTTATTTTAAAGAGTTACTATTGTATACCTGTGGCCAATTCATGTTGATGTATGGCAAAAACCATCACAATATTGTAAAATAATTATCCTGCACTTATGAAAGTATGCTCAACATCACTCATTATCAGAGAAATGTAAATTAAAACCACAATGAGGTACCATTTCACACCAGTCAGAATGGCTGCTATCAAAAAGTATACAAACAATAAATGCTGGAGAGGGTGTGGAGAATAGGGAACCCTCTTACACTGTTGGTGGGAATGCAAACTACTACAGCCACTATGGAGAACAGTGTGGAGATTCCTTAAAAAGCTGGAAATAGAACTGCCATATGACCAGCAACCCCACTGCTGGGCATACACACCAAGGAAACCAGAATTGAAAGAGACACATGTACTCCAGTGTTCACTGCAGCACTGTTTACAATAGCTAGGACATGGAAGCAACCTAGATGTCCATCAGCAGATTAATGGATAAGAAAGTTGTGGTACATATACACCATGGAATATTACTCAGCCATTAAAAAGAGTGCATTTGAATCAGCTCTAATGAGGTGGATGAAACTGGAGCCTACTACACAGAGTGAAGTAAGTCAGAAAGAAAAACATCAATACAGTATATTAACACATATATATGGAATTTAGAAAAGTGGTAATGATGACCCTATATGCGAGGCAGGAAAAGACACACAGATGTAAAGAACAGACTTTTGGACTCTGTGGGAGAAGGTGAGGGTAGAATGATTTGAGAGAATAGCATTGAAACATGTATATTTCCATATGTGAAATAGGCCGCCAGTCCAGGTTCGATGCATGAATAGGGCACTCAGGGCTGGTGCACTGGGATGACTGGTGCACTGGGATAAACCTGAGGGATGGGATGGGGGGAGGTGGGAGGGGGGTTCAGGATGGGGACACATGTACACCCATGTCATGTCATTGATTCATGTCAATGTATGGCAAAAACCACTACAATATTGTAAAGTAATTAGCCCCCAATTAGAATATTAATTAATTAAAAATAAATAAATGAACTTTAAAAAATAAAGAATTAGTATTGCCCTGATTTCAAGTTCACTAATCTTTCCTTCAGCAGTGTCCAATTATTTTGATCCCACCCAAAGTATGGTAGATATATTTGTATGAGATATATCCTTCATTCCTAGATCTAATTAATTATCTTTTTAAGACATGTGCTATATCTTTAAATATCATCTTTTGTATCTCAAATGACATGCTTGAGTTTTTCTCTACCTTTTTAATTATATGAGATATAGTCAGAATAACTTTTAAATGCCATATCCAGTAATTATATCAGTGCTATGTTTACATTTTTTTTAACATCTACTTTCTTTTTTCAGCTTTATTATTTGGGTAAACTCCAGGAGTTGGTGATGGACAGGGAGGCCTGGCATGCTGCAGTCCATGGGGCTGCAAAGAGTCGAACACAACTGAACTGAACTGAACAACTAAAAATATAAATATTTAGGTTGTACAAATTGGCTTTTTTCAGGTGTATAATCTGTTGGTTTTATGTGACCTCTTAAAATCATTCCCTCCAATCTTCTTGGATGATGCCTTCCCAGGCCCCAATCAGTTTCTTCATGTACCCGCAGTGATAAGTACTCATTTGAAAGTGCAGGGCTGTCGCTTTAGATCTCCAGAGTTCTTTTCTTCTGCTGCTTCCTCCTCTCTGGATTTCGACTTGAAAACTAGCTGCCTTGTTCTCCCTGGCCTCTCAACTCCATCCCCTAAACCCTTTTCAAATGGGTTCCCTCTCCCTATTTTATTACCTGGGAACTCACTCAAGGAGGTAAGCTGGGAAAACTACAGGGCTCACTTCATTAATTTCTCATCTCCCAGGGATCACTGGCTTCTCTTGCTTGATGTTCAAAATCTGAAAAAATGGTATTTCACATTTTAGGGGGGGTTATTTTTAGTGCTTCAGGTAGAAGGGCAAATATGGTCCCTGTTACTCCTTCTTGGTTAGAAACAGAAATGTAACTCCTCCCCACCTATCTGTCCCCTGCAACAGAAATATTTTTTGTATATTCCAGTGTGGGGGCAATGGAGTAAAGCTGAGAAAGAGAGGTAGATAATGTTGGACAGAGAGAAGAGACAGAGCGACAGCAAATGAGAGGGAGAGAGATCGTGGGGTATTTTATGCTTACATCCTTAAGTAGCCAGAGTAAATAGGCCTAGACTTACAATTCAGTAATGGGCATTGCTCAATACAGTTGAAGTCACAAGTAAATTTAGACTGACTGAAGTCAGAATCTAGCCAGAATAAACATCAAAAACTTACTGTATCAAATAATCCCTGATTGCAACAAAGTGATACATCTAACATATTAGATGACAGACAGGTGGTCTTTTGGATGTGCAAAAAAGAACATTAAAATAATAATTATTATAAGTATATTAA